GCTATCTATTAAAGGCGTGACTTGATTCGGGACAACTTTGCAAGAGACAAAAATGCAAAATGAAAACTCCACTCCATCTCCATTGAAGTTGTAGAACCTGCGCCTTCTCCTTTTCTTTTTTAAAAAATAGTTCCTTTATAGTTTCAACATATATTTTTGTATAAAAACTTGGTTTAAACGTTTTTTTTTTCCATTAAAGTCGAATCAAGATCAGATAGGTAGTTACAAGTTTAAATTTAATTAACATGTCTAATTATATATAAATTTATTTTTTTACTGCATTTATATATAAAGTTACTTTATTTAGAAGAATTTTATATACAGTTATTAATGATATAATAATCGATGTAAATTATAGTAGTGCAACTTGATCTATATATCCCAGTAATGAATTATAAAATTACACACACATAATAATTTATGAAGTTATTTATTATGTTTGAGACGATACAACCCGAAACTTTAGTGATAATAAACAAAACATAGGAAAGTATATGTTTTTATATATATTATTATTGAAATCAAGTGTTTGAGATATCAAATTAAAGCTCTGAGCTTTGCATAGTGAGATTTCATTGAAAAAGAAAGTAATGATAAAAAAAAATTGTTAAAAATAAAGAGTATTTGTACCAATATTTTTTTCCAATAACTACAATACTAATACTCTTAGTACAAATTCTACGAAATCATCTTCCTAATAGTTATTTGTATTATTAAATCAATAAAATACTTTTTTTTAAAGATATAAATATTTTCAAATGCAGTTTTTCACTCCTTTATTCGACTTCCTCGAATTCCTTCTTGGTGTGGTGGTTTTGGCATCATTTTTTTTATCGGATGGATACGCATTATTACTAGAATTTTTTTTATTATATGTGATTTTTTATGCGAATTTTATATTAAAATTTGAGCAAATAATATTTTTACGAAATTTTTTACGAAATTTTATTTGCAGGTAATACCTTCGTAGATAATATATTTTTGCGAATTTTAAAATTTGCAAGAAATTTTCCTACAAAAAAAATTTGTAGGAAAGTTTTCTACAAAAAAAATTTGTAAGAAAGTTTCCTACGAATTTTTTCGTAAGAAATTCTACTGGAATATTTTTAACGAAAAAAATCAAAGAAATTATCACAACATGTGATACACAATCTTTTAAACTCTAAGATTGTAGATATTTATATCTTCAAACACTCAACCATATAAATCAACTTGTAAGGTAAGTGTTGCTCCAACTTATATACTCTTTAATTTTTTTATTTTCAATCGATGTGAGACTTGAAGTTTTTTTTAAAATATTAAACTTATAAATTTAAATATTTTTTTTATTTTTCCCGCGGATTAAAATTGGCAGGAAAATCCGTAAGAAAAGTTACCTGCAAAATTTTTCTATCATTTAGTAGATATTACTTGCGAATTTATTTTTGCAAGAAAATCAGTAAGAAACAAAATAAAATTCTTACAATATTTTCTACAAATTTTTACCATGGAAAAAAATTTATATGATCATTAAAATTGTAGCAAAATATGCAAAAATTTATTGTAGATTATTTTTCATAAAATTTTTGTAAGAAATATCTGTAAATTATATTTCACAAATAAATTCGTAAATTTTTTTTGTAAAATTAATATTACAAGAAAATTCACAAAAAAAAATTTCTGAGTATTTTTTTATAGTAAAATTCGCAGGAAAATGACACTTTTATAGTAGTGATGCAAACTCGTGTGTTGATAAAATAAGAAAAATAGTTAATAAAATTTTTTATAAGTTAAAAGAGGATGAAGATAAATTTATAAATATATAAATATCTTTATTAATATAAAAAGAATGAAAATATGTGTGTAAATATGCGATGCACAATAGTATAGGCATGACAACCAACTAAGCACGCAAGTCACCATATATCACGTATGGACAAAGTCTCTTTCCCGGATATAATGACCAAAACAGCAGGGGCAACCTTAGCAATTTGATTAATGAAATCACGACAAAACATGTGGCTTCTTAATCAATTTGGTTAGTGATTCTTTTTCCCTTTGCTACTTGTCTATGAGTCACATTAGTCACATTTCATTTACCCAATGATAATCGTAAAATATTCATATAATTTTTATTTAAATTAAGTAATTATTAATATATTTTATGTTCTTAATTTTTTTTTTTCACAAAACACTTAAAGAGTTAATTTTATTTTATAATTTAAATATTAAAATATTAGGGTTTTTTTTTATAGAAATAACATAATAACTTAATAAGAAAATAATTTAGAAGTTACAAGTTTTAAAGGAGAATCATCACTCCAAACTATATAGAAGACTCGCTCCAAATTAGTGAAATTCGCTTCAAGTGACTAACAACTCACTTTGAGTGAGTCTAATCAGAGACCAACCCTGGAAGATTATATCAACTCATTCAGATCTATCACAAGAGCGCTTTGAGTAAGTGAAGTCAAAAAGTACTATTGAAAGCACACGCGAAGCGAGTTACATGGGTACTCTAAGCAAGCATATCAAACCTAACAACCCATCAAAATTGTTATAAAAATAGGACCTCTAGGAGTTCTTTGTATTTGATTTCAATCATCAATATTCTTCTTAGCATAATTTTAAAGAGATTAGAGAGAGTTTCTTTGAGGTCGTTATTGTAATCACAAATCGCTCAAATGTCCTTCTATTGTTGTGTAAATCTTGTTCACAAATGATTAAGTTTTCTATAGTTGGAGATTGAGGTAACTCATAAAACTATGTAATTAATTTTTCTGGTGTTTTTCATTAATAAAGTCATTATTCAACTAATCATTATATTCTTGTACTTAATGCTTGTTATGACATGATCATTCTCTTCATAATTTTTATAAGTTTTAATCGAGCTTGAAAAATCATTATAAAATTATAATATAAATAAAACGTTGATAACATTTATTACCAATAAATTGAGATAAACTTTATCAATCGATCCTTGGTCCTTGACCTTAATGTAAGATTGTTTAACAAGAATTACCAACAAATTGTGATTTTCTGTAAACAACCTAGACTTTCTCACCTAACGAATTAGAGTTTAAATATAATTGTGGGCTATTGAATTATTAATAGTATAATTGCAACATTAAATGAAAAATTATGAGATTTTATATAGGAAAAGTTAATGAATCGATCTCTGAGTGTTCTTATTATAAATGAAAATTTGTCATAATTTACTATCATGTTGTTACTATGGTGGATAATGTGATTGCTTTAATATTTGGAAAAAAATTGTTGAATAACAAAATTTGTTCATATTAAGTGTTCCTAATATATCTTAAGTAAAATTATGTTTAAAGCTTAAATTGCTTGGAGATAAGCAATATTTTAAGTTTGGTGTATTTTGATAGTTGTCAAATATGCATACAATTTTTATTCAAATTAGGCAATTTTTAATGCATTTTATGCTTCTAGATCTTTTTTTTACCACAAAACACTCAATCAAGAGTTGATTTTATTTTAGGATTTAAGTGTTAAAATATTAGGTATTTTTAATATTTTTATTTGTTGAGAAATAACACAGAGAAAATAATTTAGAAGCTACAAGTTTCAAAGGAGAATCATCGCTCTAAACTATATATATAGAAGACTCACTCCAAACTAGTGAAATTCGCTTAGAGCAACTAACAGTTCATTTTGAGCGAGCCAAATCAAAGAGCAACCTTGAAGGATTATACCAGCTCGCTGAAAGCTATCACAAGAACTCTTTGAGCAAGTGAAGTCAAAGAGTCTTTTTGGAAGCATACTCAAAGCAAGCTACATGGACGCTCTAAGCAAGCGTCTCAAACCTAAAAAATCATCAGAATTGTTATAAAAATTGGATCTTCAGGAGGTATTTATTCAATTCCAATCATCAATATTCTTCTTAGCATAATTTTAGAAAGATTAGAGAGAGCTTTTGCGAGGTCACTCTTGTAATTACGAATCACTCAAAAATCCTTATATTGTTGTGTAATTTTTAATCATTAGTGACTAAGTTATCTATTGTTAGATATTGAGGTAGCTAGTGAAATTATGTAATTTTCTCTATATTTTTCATTTAATAAAGTTGTTATTCAATTAATCCTTTTATTCTTGTATTTAATGCTTGTTGTAGTCTGATCAACCTCTTCATGATTTTTAATAAAGACTGAGAAATTCTTTTAAAATTATGATCCAGATAAAATATCAATAACATTTATTATCAAGAAATTGAGATAAACTTTATCAGTCGATCTTTAGTCTGTGACCTTAATGTTGGATTGTTGAACAAAAGTTATGAAGGAATTGTGATTTTTCTTAAACAATTTAGACTTTCTTACATAAGGAATTAGAGTTTAAATATAATAGTGAACTATTAATTAAATTAATTGTATAATTACAACATTTAATGAAAAATTAAGTGGTTTTACAAGGGAAAGTTAGTGAATCAATCATTGATTGTTCCTATTATAAATTCAAATTTGTCATAATTTACTACTTTACTTTATTTTCATTAAATTTAAACGTTTATTCCTAAATAATTTCAAATGAACTAAAGTCCATGCAAATTCATTAACTCGAATTTCTATCTAATTTACTACCTACAATAATGGGTATTATTGTCAAATGTGTAACACTCTAGTTTTAGTGATTATTATGAAATTCGATAACATTTTCTTAATGAGTAAATAAAAAAGATGACAAAAGTACATTTTTTGTCTCATATATTATTTATTAGTATTAATTTAATCTCATATTAATTATTTGAATCAATTTAGTCATATATTTTTAAACGAATAGGATGAAGAATCAAACATTAAGATACATTTTAAAGATGTAAGACTAAATTGATTCAATTAATTAAAATAAGACTAAATTAAATATAATAAATAATATAAAAAATGGAAAGTATATTTTTTACCTAAAAAGAAGACTAATGGAAAAAAGCTAACAACAAAGAGTTAGGTAAGGGAAAACCTATTATTATTTTGCCATGCATAAATATTACACGCAAAATTTGAAAAAGCAATTAAGGAATAGTTTTTACATAGGAAATGAACTTTAACAACAGTAAATGTAGGTAGGTAGTTACAGACACATGGGGAAACATTCACAGCCATAGACACTAAACATCCTCATTCCTCTCTCCTCATGAAATGAATGCAGTAGCACTCTCACTCACTCTCTCTCCCATCCTATTCAGCTATTCTATTTGGAACAAACAAACAAATAAAACGAAGTGAAAAGGACTAAGGTACATGAACTCTTTGAATGCCCCACGTGAAAATGAAAGCATAATGTTGTGATGAGGTTAACTCAACTCAGTTCCTATTCAGAAGTTCCTCTATCATCTGCAGTGCCATTCTCTGCTCCTCATCTAAGCCATTTCCTTCCTCAGGCTTCACCTTCTCTGGTGCATCAACAACCACAGGCAATTCTGAATCAGAAGAAGGACCCTCACTCTCACCCTCGTTGTTCTTCCTTTCCAACTCAACCATCATGATCCAGTTTGAGTCAGAACGAGGGCCTGCACGCTTCTGCCACACCCCTATGTGGGAATTCTCAGTGTCAAGCCTTAGGCATGTGAGGGAAGGTGAAGGGGACTTGCAACACTTCCTAAGCTTTGCACTCAGAACTGCAGACAATGTGGTTGTGGAAGAGGAAGTGCTGGAACTGTGATTCCCCATTTGGTTCTCAGCAACTGGGAAGTTTGTCTTTGCGTTTCTGCCACTCATCAAAATGGCTGCCTCATCATATGCTCTAGCTGCTTCCTCAGCTGTCTCGAATGTCCCAAGCCACACCCTCCTTTTCCTATTCAAACACCACAAATCACAAAGACTATCACATTCAATGCACTCATTTTTCTGAGACTTAGTCTCGGGATAACAATTTAAACAATATTGTAAGTTTTTTGGACTGAGAAACCATCTCGATTACAAGTTTTCTGGACAAACTAAGCAATACTAATAAGTAATACTCTCACATTCAATGCACATTTATATGTGACTTAAACTTTAGACAACAATTTAATATTTTAAGTTTTTTAGACATACTTGAGAGAACTGTCTGCATTACAAGTTTTATAAACAAACTAGGAAAAACATAGTAATGTGAGAGCAGTACTAATAAGTAATGCCAACATCAAGTAAAGCCACCATTGTGAATTAATTCAGATACTATCAAGATCAATGAATAGAATGGGAGTAGGTTTCATGGGGCAAGGATTTAAAAAGGCAGACTAATAAAACAAAAGAAGAGAAAAAGAAATGGTACTTTTTTGTAGAAGTGGAACAAATAAATAATTGAAAATGTTTAGTGAGTTGAGTTTGATGAGAGTAGTACAATAATGGGTGACGAATCTCAGAAACCCACGAGCCCCAATGGCGTTGCCTCACACCTCTGAATTTCCTTGATTGCACCATGTTAGTCAGAACTATCTTGTCTTTTACAAAAGAGGGTGAGAGAGAGAGAGAAAGGACAAGGGATAGAGTGTATGAAATTTGTGACAAAGAATGTGAAAGTCGTGCCATGTTATAAAGCACGGGGTGCTGATGCAGTAATTTAGGCTACTTCCACAAAAGGGACACGTGATTTTTGGTTTAGTAGGATTTCCACACATCAAGAGTGTAGGACCAAATTGTTTTAGCCTCTTTTTACCACTGATGTTGATATTTCATGGAATGTCCTCAACAGTAACAGTTCATGTTAGAAGGGTTACAATTGTAGAATAAAAAAAAACGGTTAAAAACACAAACTGCTATATCTTATTTGGTTAGCTCAAAAGTTAGCCATTTCTTGTTTCTTTACTAGATAATAATAAGAGATTGAACTTTCAGCCTCAAATCTCCCTTCATTCTCATCTCATTACTCAAGTGGTCCATTGCCAAGTGCAACGTAGAGGGCATGTTGGCGACTGTGATTGTCAGTGATCTCATAGTTGCATTAATTTTCAAACTATGATGAGATGCTTGGCTCGTTGATAATGACATCACTACCCAGTAATATATAACTTAAGTTCAACCTTCAAATCATGTTATAGCATAGGAAGATGAATATATAATTCATATATATTAGCATCATAATTTGGAAGTGACCGTCACTTCCATCAAGGTGGCAACCGTTAGTCCTATTGCTCTAAAAGTTCCTCTATTCTTAATAGTTAATACCAGATTGGCCAAGTGATACAGAATAAAATCTCATGAAAAAAAATATTATTCTGTAATTTTGAATATAGACCACAAATCATGCCCCAGTTCCAGATATACAAAACTCAGCAATTTGTTCTCAATTTCCCATCACTTTAATGCATGCTATTCATATAGCATTCTCCAGCACTAATGCATTCTGTTTCAGATTTGTTATTGCTTTTTCCGTCTACTGCCCAATATTAGCTAGCGCACGTTGATTGATCTGATTTCACGTTTTCAGTTATCAGTACAAATGTTTCTATTGAAGGAAAGTGAAGTTGAGTCTCCAGAAAGCAAACACAGGCGTGAGAGCGTGCTTATTTTTCTTGGGAAAATGCTGTACAAATGCAATGAACTCCTTGTAGAACAATAGAACTGCATGTGAATATATTAAAAAAACTGATGTATTTCTTATACGAATTTAAAGGTAATCTTGCAGTTACAAGGAATGAGATGTAGGATTTGAAGGGAAAAATGTAGAGTAAATGTATTCCTCCTTCAGAACTTTGCATTGTTAATTTAAATATTCATTAAACACAAAAGGCGTTCTTCCCAATTTAGGAAACGTTGCCGCTAATTAAAGTTAGCAGTTAGCACTAACAATCAGGTTGAGGAATGCGCGTGCATTTTAACCTGTACAAATCTTGGCTCTAGAACTTATTATGTTGCACCGAAAAATGTTAAACGTGCATCCCATTTTGGGGTAGATTGGAGGTAGAAAAGATACAAAGAGATAAAAGATAAAAGCAGAGAGATAAAATGATAAACATGATGTGATGTGATGGGAAAGGTTGAGAGAAATAACAGGAAAAATGATAGATAACTTTGTCCTTTAATTATGTGATCATAGAATGAATTTTAGTATCTCAAAAGATTAATGGCTGATTCTCAATAGGATCTTGGATTCACCCAAAATTATATTAAGCTCAAACTGCAAAAATAGTCTAGTTCTGTTTCAGTGGTAATTTTTTTTACAAGTTGTGAATATTCTCACATTTTGTCTTTTTATTCTAACCTTGGCATAACAGAAGAGTGGTCCTGTTGCATAAAGAGGCTTGTTGTATCAAGGGTTGTGGGTCGAAAGGAGTAACTACCTAACTCAAATGAGCACATAGCGTGCGTGTTTTCACTGTAATAGAAAAAGTAACAGCTCATGTGATGAAAACATCGAGTGGCACCGGACAAGTTCATTGCGTTGTGGTAGCATTATTTATGGCTCCATAAAGAAGCTAGAGGGGTTGAACACCCCACGGTAACGTGTGCATGCTTCCTCATAGCTACCATGCTATGTGAGTGCCCTTTATTATCTAGCTGTGATGGCATTACACATTTGCACATGCATATCAGAAAGTTTAACTATTGCTTATGCTAACCACTTTTCAATTCATCTCTATGATGAAAGGAGATTCACGTTAGGGTATCAACCACCCTGTCATTTTACTGATTAAGCACAACTGAGAGAGAGAGAGAGGGGTAGTAACTACAGTTTTTAGGGTCAATTGCTTAGGGTCTTTGGCTTGGTTGGACAATCTTGGCCTAACTTTTTGCCTTGTCCAAATTTTGATGCATGACTCTGACAGATATCTCCCACTGCCCACTGCTTAACAGTCTCAAGGGAAAAATATCACAGTATTCAAAACTTCGGTTTTGCAACCTTGAGAAATTAAGTTGCAGGCTGATATTGGATCACAAACCTAGTAGCATTAGTTTCTAACTTAAAGTCTTTCCTCTATTGTCTGCTACTTAATTTGCCAACTTTTCTCTCAACCTGGATTTTGTGGGTTCTTTTCGTTTATGAAAAAGAGGAAATCATGGTCCTATAGCATGTATCTATCAATTAAAACTTTGTGCACGCTATAATTAGCACTACCAGCGTTTCAGTTAGTTATTCATGATTGATAATAGTTGACAATAATACGAACAAGTCAAGTTCGGTATTCCTAGTATTAGGGTGTATTTAGCTAAACATAAATATAAGATAGGAGATGAAAAGTGGTTAGCACAAGCATTAGTTAAACTTGATATGCATGTGGAAATCACTTTTATTTATTAAGTGACGATCAAGGTTCGATTTCTTATTTTCTGATTTAGATATTTAGTTGCAACTAAAAGTATTATTTTATTTTTATAAGAGTCAATCTAATAAAAATGAGTTATACTTCTTGAATAACCAAAAACAAAACTAATAATAAAAGACAAATAATTAATTTTTTATTTTATTTTTTAAGGTGTAAATAAGTTCGTGTATTAAATAAGTTTATTTTAACTAAATTTTTCATTTTCTTATCAACCTTGCTCTTATTCAATTAGTGAAGTTTTTTAATGTAACTAGCTAAAAATAATAGTAATAAAGTTTATATCACTAGTACAAAAATAGGCTTTTACGTCACCTAATTTACGTTGAAAACACGAAAACCCGACGTTATAAAAGTACGGTGGCATGTAGCGTAATTTTGTTGAATTATTTATGTCGGTCCTAATTGGGTCCGACGTAAATTTTAACATCTACGTCGGTTAGGCATTGTGTCCGACGTAGATGTTAAAATTTACGTTGGTTAACATCTACGTCGGTTAGGCATTGTGTCCGACGTAGATGTTAAAATTTATGTCGGACCCAATTAGGACCGACGTAAATAACCCCCATAAGCTGTTAAAAGGTGAGGCGCACTAGTTAAATTTCAAAATTTTCATGGTTGTTCCTTCTCCCGCGCCTCCTCCTCCTTCTTCTATTTTTCTTCCTTCTCCTGCGCCTCCTCCTTCATGGCGTTCATCTGCACCTTCTTCTGTTTCTTCTTCGCGTGGTCATGGGCTTCTCCCGCACCTTCTCCTTCATGGCGTTCTATGAGGTAGCATCTTCCATCAAGATTGTGTTTTTTGTGATGTTTTTTTCTTTATAATACGCATATTTTGTGGGTATAAGTTATTGTGATGTTTTTTTCTGGGAGGTTCGAGTTTTTGAAGCTGTAGAAGGAGAAGGAAGTGATGAAGTTCAGTTTCGCAGAACGCACTCCTGGGATTATCAAGCAGAACGGGCCGTTCTCCAAGCAGAACGGGCTGTTCTGCTGCACTTGTTTTTTTTTATTTATTTATATTTTGTATGACTTTTTACGCCGGACCTTGGCATGTTTGACGTAAATTTACATCGATTTTCGTGCCCCGACGTAAAATTTACGTCTCCCGCTTCTACGTCGCAAGTTTTTCTGACGTAAAAACCCCTAAATAACCGACGTAAAATGCTTATTGTGTACTAGTGTATGTTGAGTGTGGTAATTTGAAATTGATATTTCTTAAACAAGTTTTTGATATAGCGACTAATTGTTTGGTGTTTTTATTTATCCACTGAAATCCAACTTAGTATTAGGAAATGTATACAATTCAATAGTGTGATGAATCACTAAAGTCAACTTAGTGGTAAAAGTTGGAATAGTATTCACAAAGTCTTAAATTCAAACTCTTATGGTACCTATCATTATAATTTTGATGGATAAAAATATCTGACATTGTGATAGATCACATAATTTATTGCTTTGAGATTTTATTTAAGTTTAAATATATTTTTAGTCCATCAAATTTTTGGATACATTTTTTATCCCTTAATCCTTATAATTTTTAAAAAAATATTATTTTTCTCTCTCAAATTTAAAACTTGTAACTAACTCTTAAAATATATATAAAAAAATTATTTTAATCCATCTCACATTGTCATTGATATTAGTAACTAAATATTTTTTGAAATAAAAAAGATTAAAAAAATAAATTTTAAACTTGAGGATCAAAATAATGAATTTTATATTTTGGAGATTAAAATCATAATTACATCTTTTATTTAATATACCTATGTTTAATTAAAATAACAATAAGAATTGAATTTGTTAATGGAAGAGCAAAGAGTCTTATTAAGCATAAGAATAACTACTTATTCTAATATATTTGTCTATAATATATGCAACTTAAATAACTTTTATAATATATTATTAATTCTAAATTATATATTTAATAATATAATATCTATGTAGATATTACATATATTATTTTGTAATATCAATTGTAAGCATATTATATATATATATTTTTAATTTGTATTAATATACAGTTTAACATGTAATTTTTTTTATGTATTTCTTTATACAAAATAAAAATAAAGATAATTTTAAATAAGATGAAAACTGAAATTTAAAATAAAATATAAATTTATTAAAATTTATAAATATAAAATATATTTAACATGAATATTTTTTTAAAAAATTAATAAAAAAAATAAGTCATGCAATTTAATTAATAACCTATCGATTCAACCTTTAACCCGTTAATTCTATACCTTAACCGATTTGATAAC